CAAAAAGAAGCGTCAAAAAGCACTCAAAGCCTAAACTTCTCGATTCCATCTTATCTAAGCGTCCCAGGAGAAAAACTCGTGTTGAACTTTCCCCTGCTTCTTCTTCTTCTTCTTCTTCTTTGTCTTCAGCTTCTTCATCGCGTTCATCATCACCGTGGCCAAGATCATATTCTGTGCCATCATCTCCAATAAGGGCATCAAATTTATATGCACGAAATGAATTATCAAGAGCAATACTGCTCTGTGATTCAAGGGCTGAAGAGGAAGAACATGAATACGAATCCTCTGTTTCAACTACATGTTTTGGTCGTGGAGCAAGTGCTAGGTCTCGAGGCTTTTGTTCAACAATACTCAAGGTATTGATTAGAGATCAATAGACCATGGTGCTTTCTATTTCTATGGAGCTTTTGTATGATGTAACTCGCAATGTTACAGAAAAATTATATGATCAAGTCGTTTATGTTACTGATCAATTAGTGGTTGGAAAAAATCAAATGCTGTCTTCTACTTCTTTCGTCCAGGGCAGCTTTGCAATAGTCTTTTCATTTTTTCTTATTCTGCATGGTGGGTTAGCACACTGGTTTGTCGGTTTTACTTTTATAAAATATATTTAATGCAAAGAGTTCATTGAACAGTAGATTAATATTTAAAACCCTTGGTTGAGAATGATTTTTTTTATTTAAAAAAAAATTAAGTAGGAAATAGTGCTAACTAGTCAAATTATACAGCAGATTGGGAAATAACAATTGGAAGTACTTTAACAGCAAGGTAGAGAGGCCTTATTTTTTATTTTTAGGACATAACAAACCCAAAGAATTTGTTAGCTATATTTAGTCAATGAATTGTTGGTCATTGTCATGCAGATCTGGGATCTAAAGTTTAGAAATTCATTCGGAAACTGTTGACTGTGTTATTGATGATGGCCTGGGCATAATAGAACTGAACTGCCTGCATTGTTTATAATGTTTATTTACGGTCTAACCTATCTATTTTCTCTTTGATATAGAGAAATTGATGGATGATGGTTCATAAGTTTAAAATTTCCACTTTTTTTTTTTTGTTTTTGTTTTCTGTGGATGCATTGGCTGCATATCTTTGTGCCTGCAGGTGAAAATGAGAAGAATAAAAAAAGAGGGTAAAAAATAGAAGCAATTTCCATGGTATTTATAGCACTTTATTTTAGTAAAGTGGTGGCTTTATTGAGATTTAATTGGAATTTCAAATATCCACCATGTGACCACACATGGCATCAGATACATCCGCCATCTTTGGGGCAGCATTGCTGATCATTCTATTTGGGCCAGCTTTGAGCTTCACAAATGGCTACAATCATGTATGGGGCTCATCACAACAAGTTATTCTAATTTATGATTAACTTTCTTTTCTAATTAAGGTTAGGAGACCTCGGAGAAATGGTAAACCGCATTTCAGCAGTAGAAAGTTCAGAAAGATAAGAGATTCTTTTCTATCCCCTCAAATTGTAGCATATTTTAATACGAGTCGGCGGGTTTATATTATGCATACGTTAAACTTTGACTTTTTCCCAGTTACCGGTTCATTTTTATTTATTTATTTAATTTTGCACTTGGGGTTTCGGATATATGACCCTTCAAGTTGGTAATAAACTTGGCTCATGACCAGTCTCTGCAAGGCAACAACAGAGGGCGACCTTTTCTAATCCAAAGGATCACTATCTTTTTCTACAAAAATTGTGTTACAGCAACATTCTTACACCTAATGCATGGAATAAGACAATCATTTATTGGTTACTAGTGATATATCACATCCTTTGGCCTCCTAATTCCATTAGTTTTTCAGTATCATAGGCAGTCAAACTGGATTTGTAGGTTAATTTGTTAAAAACCACCACACCTCAAGCAAGCATAACAACACAATAATAAACAGCTTTAATATTGGTTACATACTGCAGACTTAGTTATCTTTTGACCCTTTTCGCTTAAATTATCATACAAATAATAACAAGGCTTTGTGTGCGAATATAACAAGTAATTAAAAGACGATAGCATAACCAAAGATTTGATCAATCGTAAGTGCTACTCTCAACTTTAGAGAATTGGAAATAATCCATATAATAATATACAAGGGAAAAAAAAAAAAAAAAAACAACACCAGGAAAAGGAATTTGAATAGAAGATTTCTCTCGGTCTTACTGATTGGGGCGACGTACTAACATAGGCTTGGGAGAAAACTTTAACAAAGTAGAAAGTTTTGAGGAGATTACATGGGCTGCTTTTGTCTATACGATGTACACACTGATGATGATGAATTAATGTTTTTAGGCCGGCTCAGGATCAACGGGCTTGTTTATATGAAACAAGGTAGACACTGAGGCGAGTGGGGCGGCAGCAGCATCACCGTTGGCGCATGATCCTATCAAGAAAAATCGTTGGCGTATAATTGATTATGAATTGACATGGAAAACCAGCGGAATTGGAATCGCAGAATTCTTTGAAGAAAGTTGTTCAATGTGTTAGTTTAGACTATTTGATGCTTTTCGGATTTAATTGCTGCAGGGTTTCATATGGATAGATATTTTACAATTCATTGGATATTTCTCATTTGAAACGGCTTCTGATTTCACTTACTTGTTTGATGATAGTTACCACAAAATCCTGATATGGCTTAATTACAATCACAAAATTTTAATTTATAATAAATATATATTAAAATTACTTTAAATAAATATTCAATTGAGTAAATGTGATTTTTTACCTAATAAAAATTTAAGATAATTAAATTAATAATGTTAAAGTGATTTACAAGTTGTAACCACAATCTATTCACCAAACATCATAGCTCTTAACATTCTAAAAAAAAAAAAAAAAACTAAACGGTGTTATTTTTTGCTTATAAATTCACAAACTAAAAAGTTCAAGGTTGGCATTGTCACGTTGAATGAAAAATAGAATGGAGGTGGATTCAATCTTGTCAATATATAGAAGCCATGGCATTGAGAAAAGGAGCTATATAATGGCTGAAGAAATTTCAGACGGATGGAGATTAGCTTTTAATTTTTTTATTTTTTTTTTGGCTAAGGTAAAGGGTTATTTTGTGTTGGGAAAAAAATAGCAGATTGTCATAAAAGCCCGACTTGTAAGCCTAAAAATACGGGTCAAACAAGAAGTGATGATTCCATTTAATTGCATTTTAAGCTAGTTTATTAATTAGTACTGCTTACTATTAGATTATTTTAGATTCCTCAATAAACGAGCATTTTTAGGTTTCCCTCCTTTTCTTTACCTACCATATGATACCAACACTCACAAGACAAAACACTGCCTCCTTTTCCTCACAACCCATTTCTTTCATCATGCTATATATTCTTTATGCCCTTTTTGTACTCATTTATATTTATCAATAGAACAAAGGTAATGCTTCCAGTATTACTTCAATTGCAAATTAGTATATATACATATATATAATAATAATAATTTGGTAGAATTTAGAGTACAAAGCCAAATATACATCAAAGTTGATAATTGTCATGACCCATGCATCTAGCTAGTTAAAAGTACCCATTTCTTGATGATTATATACATATACGATTTATATATAGGACCAAATGCATAGCAACCTACTCAATTGTTTTCATTTCATCATTTTTTTAAGAGCATGGTGTATGATCATTTTCTTTTACTTGCTTATTGTTAGATGTGATCATTTATATATATATATATGTATATATACACATGCATACATATAAAAATGATTTTTCGAGTAATTAACAAGTTCAAACCATTAGGAAAGAGAATGAGATTTACTTGATAAATTACTAAGGCATAGATAATCTTGTATTGTAGTAATGATTTAAAATTCAATAAATGTTTAATGCAAAAAAAAAAAAAAAAACCAGGAAAAAAGAAATGGTGGTTGTCCTTTTCAAAACGAAAAACTTGTAAAATATTTTGCTTTGAGAAATATAGGTATATATACAATATATAGATTGATTAGTTTGTTTCCTAACCTTGCACGTAATTAATTAATTATATGATACACACAAAGGAAGCAAACAATTTACATCCTAACAATGACGTGATTCCATAAACTTGCTTATGAATAATTAAACTATCAAGAAATGGAATGAATGTTAGGCGTTCTATTGGATGCAACGTGTTTAATTCATTTTCTTCACCGCACCTTACTTGTAAGACTGATCTGAATTGTTATTATTTATTTATTTATTTAAAATTGTCATGAATTAAATTTTGGACAAGTTAATTTCATTATCGTGAAGTCACAAGGACAAGTTAATTTATGAAGAACTAGTTCTGGAAATCCTATGGAGAAACGAAGATCCACCTTCTAAAACAAATATATTATGTATAAATTAAGGGTTTTTGATTTTAAGCAATTTCAATGTCAATTAACTTTATTAAATGGTTCCCACCGTTGTAAAATTCCTAATGGATTAATGCTGATCATCCTAGTCAAAATGAAGCCTCTTTGAACTTAATTTGCTAATTTTATATTCATAAATAATAATAATAATAATAATAGTTTTCCTTACTCAACATTATACAGGAATTTTAGTTAAGATTTGTATAATTCATTTTTTGTTTGTTGGCTGCTTCTGCTTGCTTGTTGGTTTGATATATATATATATATATATATATATATATATATATAAAATTCATAAAAAAACCTCATGTAATGATCAATTTCTTTCATTGAGATATTAAACGTGTGCTCGCAAATTTGTCAAAATACTGCTTATTAGATTTAGATGCATGATAATATAATAATAATTAGGATATTCCAGATAAATAATGGGCCAAAAGGGAAAAAAAAATTCCCACTCGCAGCCCCTAGCAAAGTAGCAATGGCGTGAAATTGCAAAGCACACAGCCATTAGGGCAGATTGTTGCTTTCAGTAATGGCCGCACGGTTTCACACGTGACCAACTATCATTCACAGCTCTCTTTCTTTTTAAGCATTAGATATGGATGTATGCAAAAATCATATCTATATTTCTATTTTTTGTATTATTTTCTCTTTTAGTCTTAACCTAGCTTTTCCTTCAACTATAATATCTGCAATTTCAAAAATATAAAATCACCTGTTCAAATTTTTTCCCTGGATTCTTCTTTTGTTTGTTTGTCTTAAAAAGGCATTGACCTTCTTTCCCCATATTAGCTTGCCTTTTGAGCACTCTTTTCCCCATTTTCATGCTTCTTTTGCTCTCCTCTTAAAACCCAACCACTCCCTTTGCGCACCTCCTTTCATCCAGGCAACCTACTAGCATGCTTGAATGTCCAGAGACAGGTGAAAATCATTCACAAATAGAGAAGCCAATAAAATTAAGAAATAATTTTGTGAAAGCAAAATCACCACTTTAATTAGTTTTCTCTCTTGATATATGTATTTGTTTTTATTTTGGGTACATAAGGGCCTGAGACGGTAGAGAAATTAGAATCACTAATTAGTATGTATCAAGAGTCTGATTATTCAGAACTTGATTTAACTCTTACTTGTGTATTTCTTGTTTATCAGAGAGAGATTTGATGAGATAGGAAAGAAGATCAAGACAGATGCATCTTCTGAAATGGGGAGGAGACATCTGTTGGGTCCTCCAGGAACCTTGAATACTATAACGCCTTGTGCTGCATGTAAGCTCTTGAGAAGAAGGTGTGCTGAAGAGTGCCCTTTCTCTCCTTATTTTTCCCCTCATGAACCCCAGAAATTTGCTTCTGTTCACAAAGTTTTTGGTGCAAGCAATGTCTCCAAGATGTTAATGGTAACACCTTACTCTCCCCTACTGTTTCCTTTGGATGATTTCCTCCAACATGTTTTTGTTTTTTTTCCCTCTTTTTCGGAGTGTCAGTTCTATATATAGATTCATCGACTTTACAGGAGGTGCCAGAGAGCCAAAGAGCCGATGCGGCGAATAGTCTGGTTTATGAGGCAAACTTGAGGTTGAGAGATCCTGTGTATGGGTGCATGGGTGCAATTGTAACTTTGCAGCAACAAATGCAGACTTTGCAGGCAGAACTCAACGTGGTAAGAGCTGAAATACTCAAATACAAATTTAGAGAAGCTTCTACTAGTAACATCATCCCTTCTAGTCACACTCAAGCAGCTTTAATTTCTCCTAGGGCGGTATCAATTGCTGTTTCATCATCACCTCTTCTGCCTCCCACCCCTCCACCTCCTCCACCTTCCATTGTTGTCTCCTCATCTTCCTCATCTTCCACATCTTCCCTATATACACCGCCAACTAGTGCAGCAGGCTATACCTCCATTTCAAGTGATAATGTTCCATACTTTGATTAATTTTATAAGCCATAATCCGAAATTTTTGTTTCTTATTTTCCCTCAGTTCAGTAATAAAAATGATTATTGGTCATAGAGTAGAAAGCTAATGAGATATTGTTTTGGGATTTGTTTTTAAGTTTGGTTTTCCTTTTCACACATTGATCGACATATACAATGTGGGAAAAGAAATGAAAACATGGGAATCTTACGGTTCTTGATCCCATCCAAATTATATTTGCTATCAGATTTCAAGTTTTCATTTCTTTTCAAATACTTTGACCAAAGTAATCCTTTGTTCTATCTCCCTACCCCTATTTGAATTTCTCCCTCTTTCATGGTTTAATTCACTTACGAGGCATTTGGCTGAGACAAAATACATTACAAATTAGCCTCGTCGACGTCCAAGCTCCCATGTGCTACAAATGAAATTCAAATGTTCTGAAAACGTCAATATCCATTGTTCAAATGCAATACCAACAAAAGTCGTCACAATCTACCTAGGAGAGAAGAATATACGAATTTGGTTGGCAGAGGATTTTGAAGAAATTCAACCACGCACAGGAGGCCTTCAGCTAATTACTGTGATTTTAAGAGGTGCATTTTCCGCTAGGGACGGTGGATTTGATTCCACAAGATCTATTATTGATCACCACACTTGCAGGTATGCTTTGAGTTTGACTAAGCCTTAGTTCTATCTCTTCATCATGTTTTATTGTACCATCGAAGGACCTGAAAAACTTGTTTAATGAACGTGCAAGGGGAGACAAAAACATATGCTGATGGTGATTCTCCCCATGTGAAGTTGAAAATTGCAATAAATTCGGAATATTGTCATTAAACTCATTGTCTATATTTTCTCCTTGTAAATTATCTTACCTTGTCTGCAGTGCAACAATATGGAGATTTGAGTTTATTGAAGAACAATTAATATAGTGCTACATTTGCATGCATCGTTTCGATGAATCTCATAATTAATTTGCATGTATTATTTCTTTCTACTTCTTCAACCCTCTTTTTGTTTTTTGTTAATCCTAAGTTTGTTTGTATAATATTAGATTTGGTAATTTATATATTCACATCATATAAAATATTAACAATTCATGTATTCATATAATGATTTATATAAAAATTACATATAATAATTTGTGTTATCACATAAAATATGAAATATATTTTTTGTTTTTATTAAATTTATATATAATTTTTGTTAAAATTTTAAATTGAATTACTTTTGTATCTTTTTTTATTATTTTTGTATCACCGTATAATATTTTAAATTATCAAATCTATATAATAATAGATTATAGAAAATGATAACCTTACACCCTCTGTGGCAATTCTCCCAAAGATTGGGCAGGTCTCCTGGATTTGTGAATCGATGGAGACGAACATCGATCTTAGCTACTTCCATTCTCAATGAATGTTGTACCACCAAGCTATAAAAGTCCAAATTTGATGTTTTGCCTTTCCTTTGGATTTATATATGATATGTTGTCTTTTATATATATATATTCATGGTGCGCCAAAATTCATGCATTTTCTCTAGCTATTATTTTCATTGCTGGTATATATATCATATTCTACCATATATGTGTATAGAGTATAATATACAGTAAAGTGATGCGGCAACCACAATCCGTTTGTTTCTGAAAATGTTAGTATTCATGAAAATACAGTTTACATTACCAGAGGTAAACATTATCTTTACCAGGGCTGTATCTCTCGATTCTGTGTGTGAATAATCTCTTATTTTCAACTTTTTATAGCGCTTACCAAATTTGCTACAGGTTTTGTACAGCTTAACCAAGGGGTTTAAGAAAGGAAAAAAACTAGGGAAAATATAGTATGTATGTGTTCTCTGTACCATGTAAATCAACATAGAAGGAACAGAATTAATTTTCCAATTCCAAGGATGAAAGCTTTTCAACCAAAAGAATTGAAAACAATTGGGGGCAAATTTTGGCTTTAAGGTCAACAACGTTTTATATTATTCTAAGACGTTGTGGTTTCCTTGGCGTGTGGAGCTCAACCTGATGAGCAGACGAAAATTAAGAATAGCCACCCTCACATAATATAATATAATATCATATCATATTAGAAGAAATTGTTTATAAAATATGCAGAGAGCCTGTGAAATTGTGATGGAATTTGGTTTCACGTCGTAGTTGCTTGAAAGGTTCGCATCTTTGTTTGTTCTTTATAAAACACTCCATTAAATTTCTTCAATTACCCAAAAAAGAAAAAAAGAAGAAAAAAGTAATTAATTATTTTTGCCCATATGATTTTGAATTACAGTAACTTTTCTTCCTAACAACACCCACTTGTTTCATCTTAATTCATCAAAAAGAGATCAATGACTGATTGTTTCAATCATAAAGAAAAATTCGAAAATCTTTTCATTTTTATTTGTTTTCTTATTTATTCCATAAATATATTATTTAATTATGATTATGATTTTTAGTTGTAATATTTAGAGTACTGTAACTTAGAAAATAGGAACTGGAGCAAGTATTGGACCACTTAATCAAGTTGAATAATTAAAATAATTAAATATAATGACGGGCCAGATTAGGTTCAAAAGTGATAGAATACAATAGTAATAGTTCTGAATTCTGACTGATGTTACATTCATTAGGCGTTGACCACTCGAACAAGCAAATTCAATTGCTTATGAGCATTCCTAGATCTAATTAATATATTGATTTCCATTTTTTAATTTGTTGGTAAATCGCTAACACAGGAATGGAAACATCACATGGGCTTAATGCTCAAGTTGACGCGCGCAAGTATGAGCCGGTTTTTATTTTGTGAATCCAAAAACGACAGTTGGCCTTAGTTGGACCGTTTTTGAGTTTTTATTCATAAAATGGTGATCTAAATAAGTTAAACGAAGGCTACAAAGTTATGTGTTCCCAGTATCCATTGGGCCAAAGCGAAAGAACACTTTTATTTCCTAAACGAAGAGAAATGTTGAGCAACATTTACCCCCAATTTAATTGGGCTTCCTACAATTCTTCCTGATCTCACCACGTGACCCAGTGAGCGGCTTAATGTCTCCCATCTTTATCATTGCAGCAACAAAGTCAGAATTGAATGCCGTCGTACTGCTGCTGTATTTTTTAATCAACGAATCAGTGGATCCGCCGTTGAAAAGTACTTGGTCTGAAGGGAGGAGTCCCTGTTTCTTTTAAGAGGTTCTGGAAGTATTTTTTGCCAAAAACATTACGAGTTTGAACGTCTAGAGGTGCTAGATTGTCGTCTCCGGAGCCACTGGTACTATGGCAGTTGCTTTGCCTAGTCTCTGCGAATGATCTATCAATGTTCGTCTCATTGTATATGCGATTTCTGAAAACTGTGCACCTTGCCTTCCCAATCGTATGGGCCCCTAACAACATAAAGCCATTTTTTTTTGTAATTAAAGCTATTTTGCAAATGAACTAACATATTTTCAGAGGCGTGCAATAGCAGTGATCGATGAAATTTTATACCGGATAATGCAACCATGTCCTTGGCAGAAAGACCTTGGAACTCTGAATGAATAGACGAGAGTGCTTAGATTAGAAGTAGGAGGAGGGATGAAACTACCATTATTGGCAGCAGTAAAGTTGGCTGTCTTTGAATCCCGTCTTCCTAGTTTAACCTTCCAGTCTGGTCCTCCAAGCTGTAGCATAAATAATTGGATTTTTTAAGCGAATCAAAAATTTTCTACTGGGGGGGTATAGCCAATTTTCAACGATTAGGTAAGTAATACGATTCAAAGACAGTTCAATCAATCGAAGGGGTTGGACCGTTCATTTACTTACAATGACAACAGAGTCTCGAGCTGCAATGGCTAAGATATCAGCACTGGAAACAATACCGGGGCAAACTTTCTCCACCTTGGACTTAATGTCATCAACGACATCGAATGCTCTGACCGAATTATTATTGGGAGCTGCAGTTTTCTCCCCAATGAAAGAAGTATCATCTAGAAGTATGGACCCGTCACAGCCCTACCATCAAACATCAAATAGTAACCACACATGCATGAATCCATACAATTCAAGATTTCTTTTTTCATCTCTTGGTTAAATCTTTTGTAAACAAGTGAATGAAGGACCCTTGTGCCCTTATATTTGGTACTTAAATCATCACCAATACGCATTGTTTGATGAGCCCAATTCACATACAGAAAAATAGAATTCAAAATATGAAAAAGGATCAACTTACAAAATTAAAATTTTTTATACCCTTTTTTAACTTTTGCTTTTTGTAAATCCAAAAAAAAAATTAAGACAATAAAATAAAAATAATTTAATTTAATTTCATCCTTTATATCTATTAAACTTAATAGTTAAAAAAATATGTAAAATTAAAGAGCAATTTTCACTGTATAAATTGATCCATGCTCTCAAAATATATATCTAGTATATATGCACCTCACTCTAAGTCAATATCCTTTAATTATACTAGCTAGTTAAGTTAAACTAGTGCAAGTATTAAGAAGAATATTTTCTTTTGTAATTAGAAAGAAGTGAAAATTTTATTTGTAGCTTAGGAACAAAAAAAAAAAAAGAATTGGACTGATGGCATATTTATAGTAATCAAACATTAATTAACGACCTTAATCTTTAATTTAGAATAATTATATGGACTTGATATAAAATACTACATATATGCATATATTCATATTCACATCATTAAACCAAAAAAAACCTGAACCTAACCTAAGTTGCCATATAAATGGAGAATAAGGGCAGAAATAAGATATCAACATAAATAAACTGCATGTTATTTCACGCAGGAATAATGATCTAAAGTAAAAGAAAGAAGAATAAGGGCAGGCATGCAGCAGCTAGTGTCAGCGTACATTGAAATTTTGTTACGGTATAGCATTGGCATGCAGTCTCTATATATATATATATATATATGGAAAAATAAATATGACTGCAGGCCGGAGCTAATTAATTTTCTATATAGAAAGAGACAGAGGCATGCAAGAGAAAATTATACATTGACAAAACAGTCATGAAAGAACAAGTGGACGAAAGAAGCGCCCATTCGGGGCTCTTTTGACACTGCGGACTTAACTACAGACTCGACGGCGTAGAAGACTTTTTGGACATGATTTAGAATAGAAAATTTTGGTGAGGTAATGAGCGGAAGCGCTCTTCATCACGTAAAGCACAAGAACCAACATGACAACGATAGTAGAAGAACTAGAGCAAGAAGCAGCCATATTTTTCTGAATGTTTGACGAAATCAGCAGAGGAAAAAAAAAAGCACTGTAGATGAGGACTCAGTTGAGAACATATACTATACTGGTGGCACTAAGGTTAATATACAAGGTAAAACTGGGCAAGGAACCTAATCTTTGAAACCAATTCATGCACATGACTTGGTATATCCAAGTGGTCCTGAATTAAGGACATGGGTCAGCAATTAATTAAGACCTTGACTATATAATAGTGATTGAGAATGATACACAAGGCATGTATATGTTTGAATATTTCGTTTTGTATTAAGATGAGAGAGTTTCAACAGAGTAATTCCGATCTAATACCCCTGCATTACTTTTAATTTAGATGAATACATATAGTTCATCAAAATCATATATATTGATAGATGGTTTTAGGTCTAAAAAAGCTATCAAACATTGATTAGGAGCGGTGGTGGACGTCGAAATTTCAAAGGTAGGTGGTCCATAAGTACGGTATGGCAGGATTAGACCAGGAAACAACCGAGAGCTTGCTAGAACTATTGAAAATGATTATGCAACAGCTAATCCTTATGCTTTGCAATAAAGGTGGATGCTTCGTTAACTAGTTTAGATTTTTTTTTTTCTCTTCCTCCATGGTTTTGAGTAAAGTAAACATCTCATGAAGAGCTAGGTTAAGAAATAAATGGACTAATTAATCTCCTTCCACTGTCCTCTTCTCTCCTTATGTTGATCTTATGCGCTAATTTGTTTAGTAAAAAGGAGGTTCCAACTTAAAAATAAAAGAATAGGTTATAGGTGCTTGATAAAAAAAAATTGTTCATTTGGTAATAAAATGAAACTCTCTTCATTTGTCATGTTGTTGTAGTAACATTTTAACTTTGTCAACAAACGTATGATCCATTCAAAGTTGGCACTTGAAACATTCAATTTAAAACAATACCAGTGATTTTTTTTGTTTAACAATGGTTGATTATAAGCATTACCATGTCTATACAGATTATCAATATTTTGAAGTTAAAATGTTTATTGACTATAGTCCCAGTTCTGCCTCAAATTACCGGTGACCATCTCAAACATAGGGAGTTAATGGGCCTATATACCCCTCCCCCCCCCCCCCCCCCAAAAAAGAAAAAAAAAGGGAACAATTATCCATTAATTTGCATAAAAATAACAACCAGCCCTACACAGCATATTACACAAGATTGTCCCTTTGGGAACTCAATATGAAATCATCCTCCGAGTCTTTTTTTTTCGGGGGATTTAATTATCAGGAATAGCTAGTACAGTTTTTCATTGTTACTGCCCTACTACGATATAAGAAAACGAATCGGCTAGTCGTCAATTATTGGACCAAAGCAAAAGAACACTTTCATTTCCAAACCAAAGAGATTAAATAATTATCTCCAGCAATTAATTAGGCCTCCTGCAATTCTTCCTGATTTCACCGCTGGATCCGGTGAGTGGCGTAATATCTCCCATCTTTATCATTGCAGTAACAAAGTCGGAATAGAATGTCTTGATATTGCTACTGTATGTTTTAACCAATGAATCGGTGGATCCACCATTGAAGAGTATTTGGTCTGAGTGGAGCAGACCCTTTTTGTTTAACAGGTTTTGGAAGTATTTTGAGTCAAAAGAATTTGGGGTTCCGACGTCTAGAGGTGCAAGATTGTTGTCCCCTGAGCCACTGGTTCTTGGGCAGCTACTTCGCCTTGCCTTTGCAAATGAACTATCAATGTTTGTCTCATTGTATATGCGATCTCTGAAAATTAAGCACCTTGCCTTCCCAATTGTGTGAGCTCCTGTCACATCACCATCAAGCAATTTAACTTAGAAACAAAGCTCCAAACAGAAAAAATAACAAGATCAGAGTCAGATATTAATTGAAGTGTAGGACAAAATTTTATACCAGATAATGCAACCATGTCCTTGGCAGAAAGACCTCGCGCTTGGAATCTATTGATGAGTTGGCTAAGGGTAGAACTAGGAGGTGGGATGACACCACTATTGGCAGCAGAAAAGCTGGCGGTTTTTGAATCCCTTCTTCCGAGTTTAACATCCCAGTCGGGCCCTCCTAGCTGCAACAATCAAATTCAAACTTTTCCTGTGAATATCATTCTTTGCGGGTACGACAGATTTTCTATGATTAGGTGATGACTAATATAATAAAACAAGTGAATGTAGGTTGGACTCTTCATTCAATTGCTTACAATAACAACAGAGTCCCGAGCTGCAATGGCTAAGATATCAGCACAGGAAACTACACCAGGACATACTTTCTCCACCTTGGCCTTAATTTCATCAACAACATTAAATCCTCTCAAGGAATTATTGTTGGGACCTGCAGTTTTCTCCCCTCTGAAAGAAGAAGTGTCATCTAGGAGTATTGACCCATCACAGCCCTGTCATTAAACATGAGATACATACTTAATAGCCATATGAATAAATACAAATGCTAAGACATTTCCTTAGTCATTCACTTGCTATGCAATCCTTTCCATTTTTGAGTGAATGTTTCAATATTGATCCATGCTTAATCTTAATAATTAATGTGCCATGGCATTTCATGATACATCAGTTTTTATAGTTGTAGGGTCCAGGAAAGGAATTTCGTTTAGGTCCACAGGAAGATATTCATTTTTATTAGAGGAAACATGACTGGCAGCCAATGTTTATTAAAAAAGTGAAATCAATTTAAATCAAGTGTGTCAACTAACTTAATTTGTTGGATAAAGTTTTATATATTACTATAACTAAAATATAAACGGGGTTTGTAACCAAATTATGCCTATGGATTAAACTTTTGACTTGATAAAAGTGTAGGGTTGATAAAAAAAAATAAGATGCATACCTTTCAACCTACATGAAACTCCACTATTAAATTGAAAAAAGAAATAAAGTTGTACTGAAGTCCAGTTGACCAAGAACAGGGAGTACGTAGGCAAGTAACAAAATTAGTGTCTTATCATGAAAAGAATGCAGGTTGAATGTGTACGACCACCATTTATGTAAGAAATGTGATACAGACAATAGGGTGTATATATGTGTATAAAGAACAGGGCTTAAGCAAGAAGTTCGAGAGAGAAACAGAGGAAATTACATTGACAAAACAGTCGTGGAAGAACAAGCGGACGAGAGAAGCACCCATGCGGCGCTCTTTTGACACTGCAGATTGAACTACAGACTCAACCGTAGAGAAGACCTTTGGACAGGATTTAGAGTAGAAATTTGTTGAGAGATGAGCAGAAGTACTGCTCCCCATGATGATCAAAAGCACAAGAACAAACATGACAACGATACTTAATGAAGAAGAAGCAGCCATTCTCAGAAGTGATCAAATATAAATATATTATATTTCACAAATTAAAGTAGAAGAAGATAAAAAGTTCAGAAGTGTACTATGGTTTTTAGATCATTAGCCATTAGGGGTTATATATAGGCCAAAAATACTGGCGTCTGGCAACTTGACACCGGCTGGTCACCTAATCTTTGAGACCAAGGCATGCATGACTTTGGCACTTCCATGTCTAGAAATTAAGGACAGGGCCAGAAATTAAGACCTTGAATAATTGATAAGAAATAGTAATAAGATACATAAAGCATATGCCCCAAGTTACTAATTCATGACATGAACTCATCAACGAGTTGGTGTGATGAGTATCGAATTTTCAAACTCATTGGGGTCCATTATTCCTAAACGCCTTTAAATTTTGGCTTTTGTTGAAGACGCCATGCAAGATTAGACAAGAAAACTACCTAGAGGGGATTGATTGACTATTCAAAAAGCTGTCAGCCGATCCATGTGTATTAATTTTGTGTTTATCTCTTCCACTTGCACCGAGAGTTGATGTTACAAGTGCTGCAAAACGTAAATCTGATAGCTTTTAGAAATTGAATCTGTTAATTAACGGATTTTGCTATTGATTATGAAAGGTTAAACAGTAATTTGCTGGCTCAATCAGATGGCCAAATTTACCTTTTGGCAAGAAGGATTAATTATTAATAATATAATCCTACTGTTTTACTACTATTGCTACTTCCCATTTCTATACATTCAGCTTACCAAACTAAAACCTACCTACTCAAATGAGTTTGACGAAGAACACTTTCTCAGTAATTTAACCAGACTGAAAAAGGACCAAAGAGACTCATCTCATCACAATTAGGAATTAATCATGATAACAAAAACCAGACTGCGCGTACTTAAATTCATGTAAGCCTAGAAGATTTGAAAAATGAAATTAAAACTTAATTATTTGTTTGTCATGTGGATTTATTATCATCCTGATCAAGAGTGTGTTAGTCTTTCAACGCTGATGAAATTATACTAGAATAGTCTAAAACTCTAATCTCCAATTACTTCAGCTTTTTTGTCTATTCTCTCTTAATGCGAGATTGTGATAAAATAAAAGAAGAACATCATTGATTGATTTGATTTGAGTCGTTTGAGACTGATTTATATACATCAAGCATTGAATTTGATTAATTCTCTATCTATCTATCTATCTACCTACTTTTTTTTGTTTTTGAGTCAAATTCTATTGGCACAGCACGTAAGCTTTTAATTTACTGTTGCTGGGATAACATTTCAAAAGGAAATAATAGTTCTTTTTTTTGGTTTCTTCTTCTTTTTCTACACGTGGATTGAGAGATATGACAAAATCCTAACTAATTTGAACGTGTATATGCCCGACAAATTCTTAATGCAAGTTAAAATCTTACTGATATATATGATTTGAATTTCAGTAAAAGTTCTTGGGACAAAACTTATATAAAATTTTATAGGTGAAAGTTATAAAATTTTTTATTAAAAATTAGTAAATAAAAATTTTAATAAATAATTCAAAATGATAAATTTGATAAAATTTGATGTGAATATCAATAATATGAAAAAAATTTATTAAAATATTAGTTATAATTTAAATTTAATTCATACTTATTTAATGAAAAAAATTCTAATAATATTTTTATAAAAAATGTTTATTTAATAAATATATCAAAATTTATTAATTTTTTTTAATTTTACGTGCTTGATCTATATGATGGGATTTTTTAATTTTTTAATTTTGATTTTTAATTTTAATTTTAATTTACTCATTTTTAATAAAAAAGGTTCAAAAATTTTACCTATAAAATTTAATATGTGTCTTTTTCAAGTTCCATAGCTAGGCTAATATATCTCGGATATTTCCTTCATGGCTGCCTTGCGTGCCGGCCTCGCGCGCTTTAATTACCTGGGAAAATCTAATTAAACCCTGAGGGTTGCAGGGAAAAATTCAAATTGAAATTGTCTATTTCAGATGTTATTTGTGAATACTTGACTTTAAACAAGTGTTAATTTCTATCATGCATCCTTATAGTATTCACCAATATAATGTTTCTGCCAAAATGAAAATCAATAAAAAGGAGAATCCTACTTCTCTCTCTATCTATTACTTTTTCATTCTTTTAAAACTTTTAAATGATATAGCTGTGTGAAAGCGATCTACTAACTAATTTATATCTAGTTTTTTCCCAAGGTGAAGTTAGTATGGTTGTGTATACCATAAAATAGCGACACTGACCTCAAGTTTGAGAAAAGATGTCTGCTTAAGATTCAAAGGTACAACTTCTTAAGTTATGACTAATTACAGTGAGAATGGTGTAAAGAAATGGAAAATCAAATCCATGCCATATGGTCCACATGTGATATCTACCAACCGTCTCTTTCGGAATAGCTTGCAGGCAGTAGTATCACTCGAACTGGATAAGAATCATGACTTTTCCGTAAGCAAAGAAGCCATTTTCCTGTTAACATGTTGGACATTTGAGCAAAAAATATACTGTTTTTGGTTGAATATATGAAAAGGATGAGTAGTCTTTAATTACATTAACAAGGAAAAAGCTACCTTCTTTTTTCTGCTATATATATTTACCTTATATTCAGCTTCCTATGCTTGACTCGAATGGTAGGGTGGGTACTCTGCACACATTAAGTGAAGATTTTAAATTTGAATCTTGGTTTTTTTCTTCTTATTATATTAATTAACAAAGAAAAATTTTGATATTTTTTGCTTCCAAATTGGTTTGATGGTTGAAAACGTACCTTATTAAAGTAAAAAGTATGGGCTTGAGCTTGGACTGGTTCTTCAGGATCCTTTGAAGGACCAAATATGGTGAAGGTTTAATGAAGTCCAATCTTCTATGCCAGCCAGAGCCCAATTTGGTGAAGTTCCCACTTAAAGCCATTTAGACAAAACAAACTGCAAAAGCAACTCAAGCTGCAAAAACCCAAGAGAAGCAAACTCAGTAACAAAAGAAATTGAGAAAGCAATGTACTCATCGCCGCTCCCCCAGGCGCGTGGGCGCGTGTTATCGTCTTGCGAGATGGATAAATCCCAAGCTGGCTCAGGAGACCTTGAATCTTGTCTGCTCCAAATCTACCACCATCATCACCAAAAATCCCTCAAGCTCCGGGGTCACGCGGGTCGGTTCTTTTATCACTTCCTTACCCACAAAATTAAGAAGTAAATAACTTGTTGATTGTAATTAATTAGTTAAGGGGTTTTATTGGAGCAGAGAAAGCGAAGAAAGATGCGATCGAGAAGGCGGGGAGAGTGTCGGATTTGTTGGTGGACGCTGTGAATGGAGGCGTACAAGAGTCCTTTATAAACGAGAAGCGGATAGAGGTGGAGATTCGAGCATTGGCTGCTACCATTGGTCGTTTCATGAAACAGACCGATCAATGGCTCGCTGCTTCTCACGCTGTTAATAGCGCTGTTAAGGTTAATCGGAATCTCCTGTCCCAGCTCTTCTCTGATTGCCTCTTACCCTGTTTCCCTTTCTCTCATCTGCTAAATTATGATGATTTTGTAGTGTATTTGAATTATCCCTTACCCTTTAATTAGTACCAGTTTACTAGTAAATATTTCACCCTAGTGCTTGCCTGTGGTGTCTGGTTTGTCAATTATCATGGTTTTGGATGAGAAAAACATCATTAGTTGAAAATGGCAAATTTTCATGGTGGTTGTAGGAAATTGGAGACTTTGAGAACTGGATGAAGAGCATGGATTTTGATTGTAAGAGCATCAACGCAGCAATCGGCAACATCCACCAACAATGACATACTAGTGATTACAATGTGATTTTATGAATTCCTGCCATTTATTCGAAGTCACTATCAATCAAATTCAAATATGGTAAAATCAAAGATGCATTGCATTGCCTACCATCTCTACTGCTATTGCTAGTGCTGCCTCAAATGTCACAACACCCCTACTTCATTTCCCCAGTCATAGATCATAGTATAGTTACTATATTCCCCACTTGTATTGGCAACTAGCTTTTGTAATATTCCTCCATTTTTGTAATAGTTGAAGAGTTTTCATTAATGCAATCTTCATATTTACTTTTGTCAAGTTGATCCCCTTTTATCCAAAAGCCATTCTCTTCTTTTTCAGTACTCTATTCTAGATTCAATAAAATAAAAAATATATATAATTAGGGTTATGTATTTATGCTTAATGTTTAATATTCAAGTCAAGTTGGAGTTAATGATTAAATCTAGTTCTTCTATCTTTATTCTTCCTTGAGCCATTCTGTGGGGTGAGATTACCTAATTCTAGTAGCTTCATGCTTTGGGACTTATGTTTTGGGTCTTTTGAAATAGGATGCAAATGAGGACAATCAGCCTATCAGTGGCTGAGATATAAAAAGGTTCTTCTGAGTTTTATTAATGGGGAAGGGAAGGAAGAACATTAGTATTTGCTAATCGCCAAAAACTCACTGCATGTTATAATTGAGCCTCTTCTGAATCTTCCCAACTGAAATAATGAGATGTTCATCAAGGCCTGAGCGTTTGAGTGTAGAAAAACAAAAGAGAAGGATTAAAGGATGGTTAGGACATTGGAGTAATTTGCTTTTAATAATTCAATTATTATAGGAGGGCTAAGTAATTGGAAATGTACTAATATTAGAGAGGGGCCAAACATTTTTAAATTACAATCTCAACCTTGATAAGTCAGACAGCAATGGATGGTTAAACAGTACGGCACCATATGAAAACAGTTGGGCAGGGCAGCCCACAAATTTAAACTAGCATTAATCAAGTTCAAGCCCCCACAATTGACTTCTACTTATCCGTCCCCCTTCTTAATTTGGAAGTTAATTAATTACACAAATTATATGACAAACAGGTTTTGAGTTGGATAAACTTGAAGGAAAAAATCTAGTTTTGTAAATAAATTCCAGCCTGAAATTTCAATGTAGGAGCATAAGATAAAAAATAAAAAATAAAAAAAACTTGTAAAAGAAATTATTTCTATCCACCATTGCGTTTGCCAAACTAATTAAAGTGTAGATCCCAACCAAACGAAACAGGTCATTTGCAAATTGCAATGCACATAATTACGCAGCTCAACCTACATAATAAAAAGTAATTAAAAAAAAGTATGTTTGAGTACAAAATTAATACTTATAATAATAATTTTGAGTAATTAAAAATTCAATAGCAATTTTTTTTTTAAATAAAATGTATAATTTTACTTTTACACGCATATTGAACTACAACCATATTAAAATGGTAGTGAATTTCAATTTTTATTCATTCTTAATTATCATTTGTTTTTTACTAAATAATATTTGGCATTGTTATCGATATTTATCTTGTTAATATTTCACATTGAGATCTTTTAAAAATATCTAAAATACAATACAATAACATGATTTAAAATTTTAATAAAAATTATATATAAATTTAATAAAAATATATATTTTATGTTTTTTGTGTCAACAAAAATACATAAATTATTAATATTTTATATGACACAAATACATAAATTAATTATCAAATTTAAAAATACTGTTCCTTTTCAATTCCTGCGTTAATTATAACAAATCAAGAAACCAAGTGCATTTACGAATTATTAATGAATGGCTTCAAATTTCTCCCTATAAATGGACATGGTAAATTGAGTTACGGCCAGGCCTGAAGTATCTCAGACAAAGTTGAATTAAGCAGCATGGCTGGTTTTAACTTTCTCTTGGTATGTAAATTGGCAGCAATTGTTGCTACCTTTGTCCCTATACATGCACAAGCACAACTCAGTCCCAATTTCTACGATCAGCTGTGCCCCGCTGCATTACCGACCATCAGAGACGTCACCAGCCAGGCCGTTCTACAACAGCCACGCATAGCACCAGCACTGCTCCGTTTGCACTTCCATGACTGCTTTGTCCAAGTACGTACTGTCCAAAGCCATTGCAAGTCGTCAACAGTTAATTGTAATTTAATTAAATCACGAAAATCAATCCCTCCATCAAGCTTATTACATCAACAAAAAAAAAAAAAAAAACGTAACAAATTTTATTTTATGGATTAATTGAAAGTAATATTTCCTAATATTATATATATATATATATATTTATAGACACACACACATATTTAATGCTGAAATTGGTGTAGGGCTGTGATGGATCGATTCTCCTGGATGACACCCCCGGCTTCACTGGTGAAAAAACAGCCTTACCCAACTTGAATTCTGTCAGGGGTTTTGATGTAGTTGACCGTATCAAAACAGCAGTTAATGCTGCTTGCGGAGGCAATGTTGTCTCATGCGCCGATATCTTAGCTGTTGCAGCTCGTGATTCCGTTAACCTTGTAAGCCCTAAATTTGATCAATTCAATGCTCACCAAATGGCATATATTATATAAATAGACACACGTCTCTAACTGGCTGATCTTTCTTCTCGTGTTTATATATATTCGCTACACAGCTGGGGGGTCCTAACTACACAGTTTTATTGGGGCGAAGAGATGCAAGAAATGCAAGCAGGGATGAGGCAAATAGCAGGCTTCCTCCCCCGTTTTTCAATTTCACTCAGCTTCTTGCCAACTTCGAATCCCAGGGTTTAGACGGAAAGGACTTGATTGTCCTGTCCGGCGCCCACACCATGGGATATGCTAGGTGCACCACCTTCCGTGGCAGGATTTACAACGATTCCAACATAGATCCCAACTTTGCTGACTTACGAAAGCAGACTTGCCCAATGAGTGGAGGAGATAACAATACAGCGCCACTTGATGTTGCAACTCCAATACGATTTGATACACAGTACTTCAGGGGTTTACTACAATTTAAGGGCCTCCTCCACTCTGATCAAGAGCTCTTTACTGGGAATGGTGCTGCTGGTGATGCCCTCGTGCGATACTACAGTAGTAATACTGAGGCCTTCTTTGCGGATTTTGGCGCTTCCATGATTAAGATGGGTAATCTGCGTCCTCTTACCGGCGCTAATGGAGAAATCCGGCAGAACTGCAGGAGAGTTAATTAAAACCAAGACATTATCATCATAGTTTAATAATTTAAGAGAATAATATTCTCTTGGTCTCAAAATGATTATCATAATTGATTTTCATGAAATTTTTTTTAAAAAAATTTATTTTAATATATTTAATATTAAAATTTAAATTTTTTTTATAAAATTAAAATTTCATGATTTTTAATGTTAAAAAGTAAAAAAAATCATAAAAATAATTTTAAAATATGAAAAGTAGGAGTTTTAAATGTTAAAAAAAATAAATATGATATCATTTTGAGACATCTCAAAAAAAAAAAAAAAAAGATGAACAAAAGAAATGGGATGGAGAGAGTAATACGCATATGTTATGTGATACTAATGACCTTCCTTAAGAATTCCCAATTGTAATTCCAGCCAATAATCGGTCACTTGAGTTATAGCTCCTTAAGTGATGATTAAATAAGATACTGTTTAAAATTATTGAAAATTAATAAAGTTATTTTTAGTTTAAATAAATTAGTTCTTGTTTAATAAATCATGTACTAATTTTTAATATATATATAACCAATAAGAGAATTTTTAATAATGTATTTCTTTTTAATAAATTAGCAACAAAATATTAACCAAAAATTTTCTCACTAGCTCTTGAAAATATTTTTAAAAAAAAAATCTAGGAGTGAAGATAATCTCAATTGATTTTTTTCAATGAAAATTTTGAGTTTTTTAATTACTAGAATTTTAGTTAATTATAAATATAAATTAGTCTCATGCATCATCTTTTTCAAATTATAATATCATTAATTTTAATAATAAAATATATTATACAAATTAACGAAATTACTTCAATTATTAATTTCAATGTGATAATAAAAATAAAATAACTAAAAAAAGTAGTGAAAGCCAAAAGATAAGCCGTCGATCTTAGAAAATGCATGAAAGAATTTTAATTTAAAAATCAACCACAAATAGACCAAAAAGATATGAGTGTAGTGAGGAAAATTCCATGAAGAGATGGTGACATTAGTGTATAAAAAAAGAGATCGATTAATTTGTGCTTGACGTCGAGGTTAGGGTTGGAAGACTAGGAGAGAGGAGGGTGAATCATGAGGGGCAAGAAGGGGAAGGAGAAAGAAGGTTGGTCGATTGCCTATTAGAATCGAATCCAGAAGTAGAGAAATTACAAAGCTACCACGCTTCCAATATTCCTACGCTCCAACCAAATAGTTACGACTATTTTAATACTGTAATCTACAATAATCATCTTCCAATAAATCATTTCTAATTTAAAATTATGTCTGATTCATTAATATATAAAATTTACTTTTATAAATGATAAATTTTTTTATTATTGGATAATTATAAGATTATAATAAAAAAATTATAAATAAAATGCACACAAATACTGGTTAGGCACTTCTTCGGAACTGTTCTTGTTTTATTAATATTTGTTGGAGTGGTTGGCAACTTTAAGGCCATATATTGTCCTCATATAACATTGAACAAAAGTGAAAATGAAAAAGAACAAATGAGAAATTACAACCCATCAATTATACTAGTAATATAGAGTTATAGGCCAACTTGCTTTAGATCAGTTCACTTTCCTGCAATTAGTGCGAATTTGCCCGTTGTTTCCTGTCAAGGGACTAAGGTTCCCCATTTTCACCATGGCATCAGCAAAATCAGTAGAAAATGTGATGGGGTTGTCGCTGTATGTAGTGACCTGAGAGTCCATGGAGCCCCCATTGAAGAGTTGTTGGTCTGAATGAAGTAGGCCCTTTTTATTAATCAAATTCTTGAAATAAGCATTGTCGAAAATTACTGGAGTAGTAGCATCTAGCGGAGAAAGGTTGTCACCGCCGCCTGTGCTTGGACAGTTTGATTGAATTGATTTTGCAAACGTTGAATCTATATTTGTCTCGTTGTAGATCCTATTTCGAAAAAGTAAACACCTCGCTTGGCCTGTGGTATGAGCTCCTGGTTTTCAAAGTAAATTTCCAAACATAACAATAGTTTCTAATTAGAACATTTGAAAAATCTAGACTTAAATTTGGATCAGCTCATGGTCAATCATTGTAATCAGAGTCTTGTCACATTTCTTTATAATTTTGAGAATTGGAGAAGTTTTACCTGAGAGAGCAACCATTTCTTTTGCAGTGAAACCTTTATTGGAGAACACGGATATAAGTTCATCTAGGTTCATTAGTGGGGAAGCAAGGTCGGTATTTGCATTGCTGAAGCTTGCTGTGGTCGAGTCTCTTCTGCCTAATTGAACTGTCCAACTTGGCCCGCCTAACTGGTGAAAATAAAACACACCATAAATAAATTAGATGAAGTAGTGTCTAGTGGCGTTAGCTATTAGAAAATACTCGATTTTGGGATCCATTAATTATGATTAATTATTAGTAATTATATTCATAGAACAAACTACTTCTGTTTATGTCTCTGGGCTTTCCCTTTTAACTTACAGCAGCGACGGAATCTCGGGCAGTGACAGCCAGAATATCTGCACAAGAAACAACACCAGGGCAGATATTCTCCACTTGAGTTTTAATAGCATCGATCACTTCAAAGCCTCTTAGTGAATTTGCATTTGGGGCTGCACTCTTCTCCCCGGTAAAATTTGTACTGTTATTATCGTCCAGTAGTACAGAAGCATCACAACCCTGTTTCAACACACAAATTCAGCATAAAACAACAACTAAAATTAGAATTTAGAGCAATAGTAGTTGTAATTTCGAAATGATAGTACTCCTTTCTGCTTCTACATGCATGCATACTTTCTTCAGGCTCTGATCTTTTTTTTTTATATATATACTAAGAATTGAATCAATCTCAAGTCAATCTTTTTATCATCAGACTTTGATTTTGTAAACCCTATGTTTTTAAATAATATAGTGTCTATATATCCAACAAATTATAAATATCAACATGCTTATAGTTAAAATGTGTGCATGAGATGACAAGAAAGAAAAGGAGGGAGAACATGCATTAACAAAACAGTCATGGAAATGGAGACGGAGCAAAGAAGCTCCCATGCGAGACTCCTTGCCCACTGCACCGTATACTGCAGCTCTAATAATAGAGAGAGCTCTCGGGCATGTTTTTGCATAGTAATTGGATGATAATTGTGCAGTGCACGACCCAAACAAGATTAAAATCACAAAGAACCAGAAGCTAAAATAATGCGACTGAAACGCCATGACAACTAAGAAAGGAGAGATAAGAACTCAAAAACCAATTGAGTAATAGCAGAGAGCTTTTGTGTTTCTGTATGATAGTGTTTGGTACGCAAAGCTGAATATATAGAGATGCACTTTTCTGGAATGTCAAACGTTGTACCATCCAACGTCAAAAGTAGTTCTAAATATAATACTACTAGTAAACGAGAGACAGCACGGAAAGTGCAAATTAACAGTGGAAATCCCACTTCTTCGATCAGAATCCATTTCTGAAAAGCAGCTAAAAAATGTGTAGTTTCCATAGCTATAAATCAAACTTTGAAAAGTCCAAAATCAGTTAAAATTAATGATACAATTATATATATATATATATATATATATGCATATAATCAACATTCATAGCTGTCGATAAAATATTAAATTTTTTTAATGATAAGATGCCTCAAATATATATATATATATATATATGTATGTATTAATCATATATGCATGTATAATCTATATAATTTTGTACTAAAAATATTAGACTTTAATTAGGCGATGAGTAAGCCTAATCATCCGCACATATGTTGACGGATGCAAAATAGAAGTTGACAAAAGTTGTGAAGGCATACACAAAATGCAATATCAGAAAAAGCAACACTAGTAATAATTATATCTCTCTTCTGTTTTCTCTTATCTGCATTGACTGATGTTTGCAAATATTTTTCCCTTCTTGGTTGCTGTTAAAATGAACGTTATTGGACATTAAAAGTTGGTGAGTGTGTGAACAAAATGGGTCATCAGGAATCTATGAATAGAAGAAGTCAATTAGTAACGCAGAGGGTGATGTTATGAGTTAGTTAAAAAATTTTATAATGGGATGTTTTGCAAATGCCCCAAACTTCAGAATCTTCCGCAGCTTGGCCTCCCCTAATCTTTGACTGACTGGAAGGGTTTTGTTTTGTCAAAATATAACAACAATCAATTGAAGGAAAAGAAAGACACAAGTCCAAAATATTCAATTTAAAGAGGGATAGTATCATGATGCCCTAATTCTTATAATGTCCCTAGATTCTAGGTTTGTATTTTGACAATTGATTACTAATATTAGGTATTTTGACAAATGATGATCTGTATGTTCTGTTTCTTTGAATTACATCCATAAAAAACAGAAAGAAAAGGAGAAATTATTGTGAAAGGGATTGGTTAGTGCATTAATTGTCTAACATAATAACATTCTTTAATTAATGAGTGAAAAAGGAAAGAAGTGTTATCTTATTATCTAATTTTTAATAAATAATTATATATATATATATATGAGAGGAATCAATTTATATTACTGTAAAATTAAAAAGTTTTATATTTTTTTAATCATTAATTTTTATAAATTAAAAAAAATGAAAGTCAAGTGAAAAAGAAAATTAATTAATTTTATCTTTTGAATTTATTAAAATAAATTATAAAAAAAATTTAAAATTTTTAATAAAAGTTAACTTCTCCTCATATATATATGTCAACAATACAAAATATTTAAAAACTATTCAAAAAATTTAAAATTTAACTTAATTCGTTAATATAATCATTTTAAAATGTGATATTCAGTAATTATAAAATTTAAAATTTAATATTTATAACTTTTATTAATATTCAGATTATGATTTTTTTTTAAATTAATAAAATCGACTTTTGATGGCTTTGTTTGTCTGCTATATTCTAAGGGTCCGTTTAAATTGCATCTCACCCTCAATGGCGGGGAGATTGTAATAAAGAAATGTGCAAATACCACTGCAGCCAAATGGTGCATTTAAAAATTTGTCAGTCATATATTTTTGGTTCAGTTGATGACTGGTCAGTGAGTTTTTTTTTTTAATAAATTTTTAATTTTATAATTATAAAAAATCTTTACATTTTTTATTTTGATTTTTTTATTTAACAATTATAAAATAATTTTCTTAATTAATATAACAAACAAAATTTATCATTTAATAATAAGTAGTTTTATAAATTTTATATAATAAATAAAATTTATAAATATTAAATAATTTAACATTTTTATCATATACAACTTTTAATTTAATATCTTTGATAATCTTTTTTTATTACAATTTATATCATGATCATTGTTATTTTTACATATAAATATATATTTTATCATTAATTTTAATTTTATTGTAATGATAACAAATTTCACTTATATCACTATCACTTATCACTCTTTTGAAGAATCAATTTCAATGCCTATTCAATGGAGCTTAAGCCTTATTTGGAATCAAACGAAGCTATAGTGAGCCATGATTGAAGGGTTCAATCGCGCCATTCCAGTTTTTGGAATACTAAAACGGGGCATGATGAGACAATTTAATCGTACTGAATCTCCAGTCACAGACTGGACTCACGAAGTCCAGTGAACTATCGTATGTCTCAAATGCAGTTTTTTGTCACTTTTATTCTTTTCTTTGTTTTATTTTTTCAAAGCTTGGATTTTTTTCCATTTTATTTTACTTTTAAAATTTTTTCACTTAATTGTTTTTAAATAATTTATTTTTTGACAAGATTAAATAATTAAATTTAATTATTTATTAAATAATTATTATTTGAAATAAAAATAATTTAATAATTTTGTTAATTTTATAAATATTAAATAATTTAAAATTTTCTTTATATATAATTTTTAATATGATATTTTTAATGTCATTTTATCTTCTTACTATAATTTATTTCATTTGTATTCAAATATTTATTTTATCACTGATTTTAATTTTATTACGATAATAATAAATTTTACTTTCATCATTGTTATTAATTTTATCGAAATTAATTTTAGTGCCTGTTCAAATGTCTTAAGGTACAGTGGATATTCCACTTGCTATCGTTGAAACTTACACTATCAAATCGATCCATGCCGTAAATCAAAGGTCAGATGGATGATTTTTTATATCTACTCGTATCAATTTAAAGGAAACTAAACCCAAGTGATGCAGTGGCAGTTGTAAGAAACTTTCCAACAAAATTTTTGAGGGAAGTCGAATGTAGCGTTTGACAACAAATTTTACAAACAAGAAAAAAGTGATAAAGTACATAACTCTACCAGAGTAAATTAAATCAAAATTACAAGCTTGATGCTCCTAAATTTCACAAGATATTCAACCATGTAATCAGAAAATAATCATACACAAAGACCTAGAAATATTTAAGAAAATAAGTACAAGTGTGTGAAGTACTCCTACACATTAAAAACTGGAAAATAAAAAACTTTTATATCTTCTTGTTTGGGAAATACCTTGCTCCCCATGCAGTACAAATAATTAGTAGTGAGGAAAAAACAGAGCAAAGAAGAAAGCAATAGTACTACCATTGCTATTCAAGATCAAACACCTTATCACTAATGGCAATCCTACATTATACTACTACTCGTCTTTCTCCATTCAACTTTCGAAAGATAAAGGGCCTTCAAAAATGAGCTTCCCAAACAGGCTCAACAACACAATTTCGGTAAACATTCAAAACACAAACTTTTCTTCCTCTGCTCCACCTGATAGTACTCCATCTCCCATCTCTTGCACAGCTGCTGCCACTGAATCACTTATGTCAAGCAGATATTGCAACCGGGACAATTTTTCGGGAGCAGGACTACTTTTTGCATATATACCAAAAAGATCAGCTAGCTCCTCTGGCACCTCCCATGATAATGGCTCTGAAGGCAAAGCCTTGTCACAAGCTAGCAAGTCATTAAGTGAGGAAACCTGCAAAACAAGTAATAAAGCGCTTAGAACCTGGGCATTAATTGACCAAATTATGAATATAAGTATGTTGACAACAAATATTATTGGATTATATGAAACCGGGCTTCAAGGTCCCTTACCACTCCCTGACGATTTCTCTGCCTTAGCAGTGCCACAGCTTGAATAAGTGAATTGGACAATCTAGTCCGTGCAAGATCATGAACAACACCTTTTGCCTTCTGAGAATTAACCTTGAGATCTGCTGGGATTTTCTCATAGACTTCTTCTTCATCAAACTCCCCAGTGCCTGATGAGAAAATCTCATCTACAGTTTTCTTGAAGAGGTTTTCTCGCAAGCTCTCTGAGATCATATTGTCTAAATCAACACCTGCTTCCTTGAGTTCCCTTATCTGCTTAATATTGAGTCTTCCTCGACCAATGGCTCTTTCAATGGCAGCCGCAATTTTGGTAGTTGTTATACTCTTTATTATTTTTTGCGCATATGGTCCAGGCAAGCCAACATTCTCCTGCAGCTCATTGAGCTGCTCAACCCTAGCCTTTGTTAACTGCCCATCAGCTAAAATCACCTCAGCTTGTTGCCTAAAAGCCTGCTCTGCCAAACTCCGACGGACTTCCACTGTCTCCTCAGTCGTCAAACCAAGGATCCCACCAAGCTGATTTAGTAGAACATAGTCTGAATCATCCCTTTCAGAGGTTATCTGAGCACCGAAAGCAATCGTGCTGACTTCTCCTGTCAGACAATATAGCAAGTATATTCTATAGAGGTCCATACGGTCTCTTTTGGAGAGGTCATCTTTGAGAGTTATCTCTGTTTGGCCTGGCTTGCGCATCTTTGCAATAAGTTCCTTGTCAGGTCTTTTTTTCCTAAGTGTCTGAAGGGATTCCCTTTCATCATCCTCATCAAGTTGTTTTAGTTCCTCTTTAACAGGCTCTTCTGATGGAGTATCAGAAGTTTCTCCTTTAATGTCTGCCACCAATTCTGTGACAACCAAGGTGTTAAAGGCAATCATCTTCTTCAGTTCTTTTGCAGACTCTGTACGATTCTTAGCTGATCGAGACCGTTTGACATAAGTCAAGAAAACCTTAATGACCTGAGCACATACATGGAGATGATTTCAAGCAGAGAGAAAGATGTTAAACCTGAAACTGAAATTTAACCAAACAAAATAACCATTAACACAAAACAATCACAGTGTGTACTCACAGCCTTGCTGACAGTAGACATAGCTGCTTCTCTTGTTAATCGCAAACCATGTGCAGCTTTCCTCACAGCTTTCCTAATGTCAGCATCAAAGCCATCAACACCAGATGAAATAGCATCTACCACAGCCTGAAACGATAATTTATAATTAAAAGAAGAAAAAGGGATCAACAATAAGACACAGCTAACCGAATCTTTTGGTTCCAATAATCCATGTAAGAATTTTCATTTTTCCCAGTTTACCATATCAACATGACAGTCTCATAAAGACTCCAAACTTTTTACAGATGTGCTGAATGCCACAAATAATTCCAGTTTTCATTGAACCTCGAGGATTTTAGATCCTTGTTAAAGTGCAGCAGATGATATGCTAGTGCAATACTAAGTCGGTGCATGTATTTACTCCATTTTCAAGTGGTGGAACATAACAGCAAAGAAAGCTGTTCAAGCCAAATTTTGAGTAATTATAATTAATACAAAGACCAAGGAGAAACTATTTTACCTTCTCAAACAAACTGCCACAGATATCTGAGTGAGCTGCATCAACAGTTTGCTGAGGAATGCAGAGCATGACTCGTACCCTCAGCAATGCAGAAATATCATTATCATCCAGCTCACCATCAGCAACACATTGTTGGAGCTTTTTCCGGTAGATTTCTTGAAACAAAATAGACAGATCAGACACTCCAAAAAATTGGTTAAGGTTGAAACCAGAAAAACAATATCCTAATAGGGTAGACAAAAAGTCTCAGTTTTTTCTTTTTCCCAACCCTGCTTCTAATACCTTCATGGATCTCACTAGCCTTTTGTGGATCGAAGTGCAGTTCTTCGCAAAGATTTTGGAGGAAGGCAGCCTTGCTATCTGCCATCTCTAGATCACCACTCTGAAAAGCCTCTGAAAGTCGTTTCTGGTATACTTTCGAAGTAACATCAAGTATGATAGATTCTGATTCTTTATTACCCAAACCAAGTATGTTCCTCAGTTGGTTCAATGCAGTAAGCTAAAAATTGCACAGAAAACAAAAGAAACAAGCATTAGACAACTACAAGACAATGTGTTGTGAATTACAAAGATAATGCATCAAAACCAAGTAAACTAAGACAAAGAACAGAGAAAAAGAATGCAGAAAGAAATGGTTTTACATTGATGAAACTAGTTCTCCCAGTTACTATTGAGCAAACAATGAGACTCTAATCAGCCAGTTTATCCACTAATAATTTTAAAGGTTCCATGCAGTCACAATGCAAAAGTTGAGTCAACAAAGGAGACACTAGATTGAGTTCCCCTAATATTAGCAGTTATATAGAGTGCAATGAGAGCAGCTCCTAAATTGGATGCAATTAGGTTAATCGCAAGGTGGTAATAGAGAAGATGAAAGGGAGGCAACCAGATCAATAGCAGTACAATAAACAAATATTCTATAGGCAGATGTTCATGGTACTTTACTTCCATATTCTATAAAAAATGAGAAGCAAATATTTCAGAGTAATATCCTTAATATTTTAAACTTTGTAAGAACCTTCATGTTTTTCAGCTAAGTAACAATAAATCAGAAAGAGGAAGTTACAAAAGCAACATCCTTACTAGTCCACTATAGTAAAAAGAAAAGCTTCTAGAGTTCTCACATGAACAAACATAGAAAGAACAATACCAGTCACAAGCAGTTACTACCTAACTCATGACATAACTACGAAAGTTTACTGTTCAAGCCTCCTTCACACCTCTATCCCAGAAAGAACCTACTTGACATTTTTGCCATAACATAATATATGTCTTTCAATTATTTGAGGTTAAGAGCATTCACTTTTCTTCCATTAACAACCTTAATTGGAGATAAACAAAACTACACTGACTGTATTTTGTAAGAATTTTTCTCCAGGAGTGATAATGTTTCTGCCAATAGGAACAATTTAAAACAAAAATTAGACATAATGCTTTAGCAAAGGTGACAACTACCATTTATCCAAAAAAAGTGCCAACTGCTTTAAGAAAGGGATTGGCTGATGTCACTGGACCTCCATCACGACCAACAGAAACAAATTGAACAGGAATATAGAAAGAAATTCAATTACCTTATTCTTTACCTTGCGACCACCAGATAAAGAATCTGTTACATAAGCTCTGTAAAGAAGCTTCAAGTCATCCATCTTTCTGTCACTATCATACTCACCACCTACACCAATCATAATTAATGCTAATTAGTTTTGGTTGGGATGATCAAACCTCAGTTATCATAAATATTAAAGCATAGCTATTAAACAGGACTCAATCATCAATAAAACTAGGTAAAAAACCAGGGTTACCCACCCAGTATTAAACAAAGACAGGCAGAATTTCAACTAATTGACTCAAATTTATTATATTCTTAGGTAGTCAAAAATTTCAGCACTATTGACAATGTCTAGTAGCCGTGCAAAAGATCAAAGGACCAGGAAGCATACCAACAAGAGAGACAGGACCAAGCCCACGGGCAAAACGATTGACATCTGGATGGTTACTAAAAGAGACAAGCAAATCATTGAAAGCTAGTATCTTATCAAGCTCTTCCACAGCTTGCTTGACTCCCCCACTGAAAAAACCTTATTTCATTAGTTGAGCAAATGGTAAAATGCAAAAATTTTAAATATGTTATGGTAAGGACAAAATATTGATAACCAGAAGCTAATGCACGAATACATGAATGCTTTTGAACATCATCACTAAGGAAAATTCCCTAATGCAAAAATAATAAGCTGCAAAAGAGTCTAGGTATAGATAATCATACACTGGTCTTGCCCTAGATTTAAGTATGTTGACTGCCACAGAAATGTTTTCCTCGATCAGCTTTCTTTTGTGCCCCATCAACAGATCTTTAGCAAGCTACAAATACAAGAACTATCATATTAAGAAACTATTACTAAACAATTACACCAATGCCAAAAATTGTGAAAAATATACCTCATCAGAAAGTTTGTACTTAAGTTGTGCTTCTCTAAGGGAGACAAGCAGTTCCACATCAACATCTGAAAACAAATATTTCAACCTCCATTAACATTAAAGGCATTATTTGGCAGGTTCAAATATATTGCATAAGGCCAGAACATTAATCATTCTAGCAGCTCAGTTTCTAAAATGGTCTATGATACAAAGGCAGAAGGAACATGCATGTATTACCTCTTCCAACTGAACTTAACTTGGAAGCATACAACCGCATCGCATTGTCACGGATAGCAATCTCAACCTAGAAATGTAAATATTATATATTCACTTATTATCAGGTTTAATGAAAAAGTCAAAAGCAGAGCAATATAATTAAATTCATACGGTGAGTATAATAAATCACTAGCAACAAAATCTGACAAAATAATCATGGATAACTACCTGTGCATCAGTGACTTTAAAAACACGCTTCCAAGGCAAAAGGAAAGTTGATGCATCTCCAAAAACTAAAGTTGAAACATAAATCAGCTTCTGAAATGCCTGCACTGAGAGACATTCATAATGGTCAAGCTCCATATGCGAATTACATCCTCCTCGGTTCCCAATTCTTTTTGTTACAAACTTGCATAATCACAAGTGACTTACCTGCCGCTGCTCTAAATCACCATCAGGGTCTCCAGTCTCAAGCCTTTGCCTAAAGATTCGCCTACCAATCTGGCAACCAATATCAAGTAAACCATTTTTAAGAAATATACATTAAACTCAAACATATATGGGTAAAGGGAACAACATAAGAGAGTACCTCCATATGCATGGAAGCTGCATCAGGGTCATCAATGCCTAATGCATTTTTGAAGCTGATTATGGTTTCAACTTCATCGCCTCTAAGATCTTCATTTCCGGAGGGAAGGACAGAAGATACAAACCTAAATAGAACATTTAAGAATAAAAACTAGACTATAAACATCAAAGACTCAGAACCAAGCCTTGCAATGAGATTCTTTCTCCAAGTAAGAAGAAAACTGATTAAATCGTATTTAACTTACCGACAGTATAGATCACAAAGCTCCACGTTAAATGCCTCATCCTGCTTGCTCACTCCGTATCTGAATTATTTTATTAACATTGAAAAAAACTTGCATAAATGTTCCCAATAAAATGAATAAAAACGAAAGCCTGAATGTTTTCAAGTTAATCACATAAAAAAGACTTACTTTTTGGCAATATTTTCAATATCTTCTCTCTTGATGGCCTCGGGGCCATCGCGGGCGGCTACATAATTATGCAAACTAACAGCCGCAACTTCTGGAACAGCGGCGTTCAAAGCATAGGCAGCAGCACCACCAGCTGCGCCGAGAATGGCTGCGCCACCCAAAGCAGCATTCCGGTTCCCACCAAAGCGGAGGCCAAGGCCGTATCCAGCAGCTAGAGCACCAGCGAGAATGACAGCAGAAGTGGCTAGTCTGAGGGGCGGAGACAATTTCTCAACCAAGGGTTGGATGCCAGTAAGCTCCTTTGGGCCTTCAAATATGGTAGTCGATTCTGATGAGGACGTGGGGGGAGGGGATTGTTCATGGGTGGAGTGGGTGTTGCGGGGGAAGGAGACCCTGACACGGCGTCGTCGAGAGGGGAGGGAATTAGGGGTGAAAGGGAAGGATAGGAGAGGGCGAGGGTGAGAGGAAGAAGGGACAGTGAGAAGAGAGGGATTCATTGGCTCCCCTCGACGGATTTAGGGTTGGAATGGGTGTAGGGCTGGGGTAGGCTTATAGGGTTTAACGAAAAGGAGGCACAAGAAAGAAGAAGGGATAGGGAGAAGCGAAGCATAGATAGAGTTTCTACCACGGACAGACAAATGCAACAAACAAAACTTCAAAAAAAAAAAAAAAAAAAAAATTATAGGCAACTGCTAGGTTAAACGACACCGTTTCACCATAACTGCATCAAAAATAAAAAAAATAAAGGACCATAGGAGAAAAAATAAAAAAAAATTCATGAATTAAAATTCAATAATTATTAAAGTCTTTGTTTTTTAATGGATTATAACCTTAAACATTTATTTTTCAATTTTAGACCCAAAAAAATAGTTAATTATTTCTGTTCAATTGATAATTTAATTAAATATAATAAATTTTAATTTAAAATTTAATTAATTATAATAATATAATAATGTAAGTTTAAATGATTATAAAATTTTTGCTAAAATTTATTAACACATATCTGTTCTGTTTTCCGGCGTCTGTCTTGGCGAACTGAAAAAAACCCAAGGCAATGGCCATTTCTTGTCTGCGAGTCCCGCTGTCCACATGGCTCATGAAAACTCGAAGCCCTCCTTCTTTGAAACTAATAACTTTACGAATCATTTGCACAGCTCAGTCCTCTGTAGATGGCAAGGAGCAGCTCCTCCCTCTCTCCGCCCGCAAGTGGGAACCTTTTCGCAAGAAAAAGGTCGTCATGCGGGTCGGCTACGTTGGTACCGATTACAGAGGTCCATATTCAACCTTTTTTTCTTTAGAAAAAAAACCCAATTATTGGTTTATTTTGAATTTGTTTCTCGTTATTCATTGCCAGTGTTTTTTTGTTGTTTATTACAGGTCTTCAACTGCAGCGAGATGAACACGAGCTATCTGGTAAGCTGCTGCTTCTTTGTTTCTCATCTTTCCTTTTGCTCCTCATTTGGTTTAAATTTCCTGTTCCGGCGTCCTCTCTTATAGTTAACTAATCTATTTTTTTACAAACAATCATTATATAATTGGGTGTTTCTTGAAATTCTTTACTAGAGCAGAGGAGCATTTAAGATTAAAAAAAACAAAGCTAAAAAAGAAATCATAATTCATCTCCTTTAGACAGCCTAGAAGAAGCCATTCTTTTTTTCAGTTTGGAGCTTAAATTGCTAACTTTAAAGCGTTGCAATGCTGTAATGTAGCTATTGAAAATGAACTGGAAACTGCCATTTTCAAGGCTGGAGGAATCCGTGAGAGTAACTATGGTGATCTGCACAAAATTGCCTGGGCCAGAAGCAGCCGAACAGATAAAGGAGTAAGTTTTTTGTTACTATTTCTTTGTTGAACCATTTGTGCATATACACCTGTTTATTTGCTTGGTGTGAGGTTGCTGGTGCTAGAACTTATATTCGGAATGGACATTTTAGGTTCACTCTTTGGCAACAATGATATCCTTAAAAATGGAGATACCTGAAGATGCTTGGAAGGAAGACCCTAATGGCATTGCTCTGGCTACTTGTGTTAACTCTTATCTTCCTCACAATATCAAAGTCTTCAGTATATTGCCTTCACAAAAGTGAGAGCTTGAGTTTGTTGTCTGCTTTTTTTGTAATCAAGTTATTGTCTATTGGAATAAAGTTTCTAATTTTCTAGTCATATTTATTGGAGTTTTGCTTCAGTATTTTTTATCATGAGTATCTCATTTCTAGAGGTCCCTTCTTTTGTGTATTTTTGCCTGTTTTTTAGGAGTTTTGATCCTAGAAGGGAATGTAATCTCCGGAAATATTCTTACCTCCTACCAGCTGAAATTATTGGAATAAAGAGTCACTTCAGTGAAGCTGAAACTAATTATCACATATCATACTTCAACAGTATATTAAATTGTTTTGAGGTATCATGTTATATTCTTAATTTTATCTTTTTTCTTCTTGCTGTCATTGACTCCCATTTGATCCTTTTATCAAAGTTGATATATTCTGGAACATTATTAATTGCTTTTTTTTTTTTCAAAGCAGTGCATCCTAAATGGACTTCACTAGAAAAACCAACATCTGAAGTTTTTATTTCACTTACTTTTGCTTCATATTACAGAGGAATGGGTGTTTAATTTAGGTTCAATTTTCTCTTATGATTCAATTTTCTTTTGTGCTTTTTACATATAACTTTGGGGGCATAATTCTATACTCGTTTAGGTGGTAGATTCCATGATTCCATCTCTTTCAGTTATGCTAGAAATTGCTTGCTTATTGATGTTTGTATCTTGTGGATACTGTTTAGGGTGAACACCCTTTCCATAATTATACTCAAAGGTCAAAGTACAGAAGACGAATTCCTCCCAGACAAACTGCAAGAAATGGTCGTATGCCAATAGGAGCTAAATTACATGATGAGTCACCAACTTCTGAAGTAGAGGAAAGTGAAGTAGAAGAAGATTCCAGAATTGATGAAACAACCACACTAAATAACGACAAAGCATCCAGTGGCTTCGGTGAACCTGCCGTTGACTCTTGTGACAGTCAGGGCAATGGTTTTAAGGATCAAAGTTCCAATGTAGTTCAAGCAAGATGGCTATATGAACCTGATGAGACAGATAGAATAACAGCTTCCCACTTCAGAAAAATTTTTCGCTGTTCTTGTGGAAGGCTGGAGAATGCAATGAGATTTGATTACATTGAAATTTCCATATGGGGGGAGTCTTTCATGTTACATCAGGTAAACCTTTTGAAATTATTGAAGTAGAAAGTATTTATATATTCTATTTCTCATTCTTCTTACTGCAGTATGTTTTTCAAAATGAGAATCTTATTTTTCTCAAGTGCTTAAAGTAGTTGATTGCAATCATTTGGTTGCTTCATTGTGTTGAAGAAGAAATTTAAAGAAAAGCTTAGGGTTACATGCATCTTTTGCAAGCTATTTAACAAATTTATAACATTAAACGCTGTATATTGCACCAGATCCGCAAAATGGTTGGTGCTGCTGTGGCTGTGAAGCGCAAGTTGCTCCCAAGAGATGTTCTAACATTGTCACTAGCCAAGTTCTCACGGATTGTCCTACCACTTGCACCATCTGAAGTTCTAATTTTGAGGGGGAACACATTCATATTGAGAAAGATGCCTGGTAATATAACAAGACCTGAAATGCTGACAATGGTTGAATCAGAAGAAATCCTCAAGGCAGTTGACAAATTCTACACATCTATAATGTTGCCACAAGTTTCAAAATTCTTGGATCCTTCCAAATCTCCCTGGAAAGAATGGGTTGAAAATTTAGATGCTAACACAAGCATTCCCGACGCACAGTTGGATGAAGTCAAGAATGCTTGGAAGCTGTGGAAGGAAAAGTTGCCGAAGCGAGCAAGTACTTCTGTATCAGCAGTTAGCCAATAAAACAATGTTAAATGTTCATCTTAATTGATTGTGAAGTTGTTTTCCCAAAAGTCCTGTTTCTAAGCTGACCATATCTCAAACCTGGAAGTGTGTCTGTCAGTTATGCTAGAAAACAATCAAAAGGAAAATAGAGCCTACAAACTTTTGATTTGCGCTTGCTTATATATGAGATGATGAGGATGGCTTTCATAATACAGATTCTGAACAGGAAACCCTAGCTTGGAGTACTGAAAGACTATAAATGTGAAAGCCACAGTACCTTTGAGTAATGAATACATATTGCAGTTAATTTGAGCTAAATCTGTGAGAAATTCACGAGCAAACAACCTCTACGCTATATGACATAAGAATCTTGTCTTACCAATGAAGAGCCGTAGATATACCAAGTTACCTAGCTCAAGGGGAAACAAGAAGGGAATCGTGACAACTGCATATAAAATAAATTACAAGTAGTTTTCTATCGAGGCCATTATTTTCTCCTGCCACATAAAAACAGACGCAAATCACATGTTTACATAGTCGATATTGCAAATCTCTAGTCTTTGGATTTCTCGGCCAAATTGACTATCATCAGATCACGTGATGTACGCTTGACAACATATACATGCAGAACAGTACTGATGGCATGTTGGGAAAGAACTTGGAACTTATGTAACCCAGAATCTGAGAGAAAGAAAAGAGGGAGACGGAATGATAAAAGGAAAGTAAGAAACAATGAAAGAACAAAATGATAAGCGTTGCCTTCATCATTGTTGCTCGTTAACTTGAGTACTCCAGTTTTGGATAGCTTGTGATACTGCTCGTTTAACATCTTGAGCATCTAAGCACTCTGATCCTTGGTCATCCTGCAAACACAAATTATAACTTTGAATATCAGATATGGAAACTTATTGTATGATTGACTGCATGCGTGCGGTGCGACAGAAAAAGATCAATAAAAAAAGGAGATATGCACGCATGCGCTTGTGTATATGTCTATATATGTTTCTGAAAGAGAAATGTTATATACACTACTTAAAAACACTCTTTAAAAATACATTTTATTTTTTTAATTTGAAAAGATCACAGCAACTACTCATAAATTTCTAAAATATCCTTTAGGTTTTTAATTAGTGTACGTAACAATCCTTGATATATTCATTTCTCACTTTCACGGCAACTGCCTCCAAAAGAAAACATTCTGAGCAGGAAACCCTAGCTTGGAGGACATCAAGAACCAGCTCTTCAAAGGCTTCCAATATGAATACAAGCAAACCTCGACAACATCTTTGGCTGAACACCTTAATTAGAAAACCCTGGTCCTGAACTTCAACCCTTAGTTGCTGATACATATTCAAGTGGAAAACTGAATGTTACTATATGTTATTTTAGAGAGGAGGAAACAAAATTGGAACATGAGCAGGATAGTTGATTGAGAAGTACAAAATGAAATATCTAACTTTAATTACCACAGGATAGCTGTTCTGGCAAGTTGAGTTTTGTGCCATAGCAATGTCTTGATTAATTCTTTCAACCCTTTGCTTCATTTCTTCTATGTATTTTGTTGCATCCAATATGATTGAGGTTTTACGGTGCTGCAGAGATAAACACGAAATCAAGGAAATATGATGGTTATACAACTCAAAGCATTCTTGGACACGAAATCAAGGAAATATGATGGATATACAACTCAAAGCATTCTTGGTTCTATTACCGATATACAGCAAATTACTTTAAAAGTAAGGCTTGGCTGGATATATAGGAACTAGAGGGTCGAAAGGAAGAAGGTTGGGAACTTTTTTAATCGAATTAATGATCAAAATTTTCCACCCTTTCTCCTTTCCATTCTACCTATCAAATATCAACCAAAACCAAATTGGACAAGGGCGGACGTCTAGACAAAAACTGTATCGAGGATTAAGCTGGTAGTGGTCATATTGATGAAGCTGCTGGCATCTTTTGCCCTAGTAATTATTTTTGTTTCATGTACTGAAACAGGTTTATGTCTATGAATATCCTAGGAGAAAACAGGTCGATAAGCTTAGCAAAGAACAAGGCAGTTGCAGGCATTTTAGAGAATTACCGCATGGGAGTTAGTGATGGAACGAAGCATTTGCAGCTTCTTATAGCTAGAAGCCTTCTTGCGCTCTCTGGAAACAATGTTCTTCATCCTCTTTATCTTTCTCTCCTGCTCCAGCTAGTCTTTCAGTACTCGCTCTCTTTCTTTTCTCTCATCCAGTTTGATATGTAGTGGCTGTTTAAATAGAGGTGCAGAGCTAATTTTTATTGCACTGTGACCCCACAAATTAAGATACTACTTTTTTTATCACTAATATATATATATATTGCGTTTCCTCTGTTAATTATATTCAATTTTATATTTATTTGTTTGCTTTCCAAAATTTGTTGCCAAGTGCCGATAGGAATATATGGCCATATCGCCATAAAAATGCCACTTGCATGCAACTGGTGGCTACACCATATATGATCCCTCAAGCATAACATTTTAGGGGGTTTCCAATACCTCCAGTCTTGAGGATTAATGACTTGAAGGGACTAAGCCACTAATCCTCCCCATTATCCTCCCTGTTTAGATTCATTTTCAGTGTATATAGTTTCTCTCCTCATACTACAAAGGAAGAAGCTCAAAATTATTTAAGTTTTCAACCTGCACCTTTGAAATTTTAGATTCGTGCATGACATTGATCGACCAAGACCTAGCTAATAAGTTCAGTACTGCACAAATATGATAATAGTTTAGATAAAAAGGTAAGTAGGATGGAATATTGAATATTTCGCAAGTTTAAATCTGCCTTAGCTATGCTATGAAGTGGAACAACTTATTTGTTAATTTCCCTCCTCTACAAGTCATCGAATGCATATTTTGCTAACTAGTTTAATCATGATATATATGGATTTATAATTGGAATTTGTAATATATACATGTGATTCCACATATATATGACATATATATAGTCTGCCGCAGGCCTTTTACACTGATAATGTTAATGACTTCATGTCATTTTTCTAGTGCTACATATTCTTGGCTTGTTGACTGATCATTAAGTAACCTAACCAGAGTCAATCTCGTCAGTCTCAAATAACAAAAAAGAAATTAACTTTCTAAGTATTTCATCACCAAAAAGAAAAGTTTCCATCGTAATTCCCAAGTTCTAATTATATACCATTAACCCTTGCAGACATTAATTTCAACTAGCACTTAGCTACTTCTTATTAATAAAGGCTTTAATATTCTTCTTCAAATGAAAGCTTTTTGTTTTTTTGTTTTTTTTTTTTTTGGTTTTCTCTTCAAATGAAAGTTTTTTTCGTAATCAAGAGGTTTCAAAGTTCAAATAACTCATATAGTACTCATATTTCATGGGATGATGTAGATATCTGAAATACTATATATGCATACGGGATCATTAAAAAAAGAATACTATAATATTTGGAGGTTTCAGAAAAGGAGAATATGAGGCGCGGTAGGGGACATGGTGGAAACTGTTAGGAATAAAAAACGATGAGTTTGCATGGAGATTGGAAGGCATATTTTTGGATCATCTATGCGGTAAGTAGAGTAAGACATTGGGTGGTGGGGGTGGGGTTAACGTGAGAGAAAGCTAGGGAGGCAGGAAATTAAGAATCTACTCGTGATTGGAGACACCATCGATAGTTTGCAGAGGAAGCGTCAAAGCATGTTCCAAGTTATGGATTGTGAATGCCTCCAAGCTTTCCTCACGGGGAGGATAGTTCTCTCTCCACCCTCCGTTTCCTATCATTTGCTTTTGGTTCAAAGAATGAGCAATTTGGAAATGATCTCATCACTTCCCCAAAATGAAAACAACTACTAGCTCTGACCGCTACCAGTAATTAATTTAAATATTCTTAATTTGTGTTTTCAGGTCATGTAGAAAATTAAAATAGAGAAAAAAATACATATATATATATATAGATTAGTGTGCATATTATATATATCTAGCAAGCAGCTGGATAAGCTGTGATCATGGTTTTCAACTATAATTGAATAAGTATAGGGCAAATAGTAAGTGATGGATGCTGTTGAGTGTTGAGAACATATTATTGCATTAAATGGTATAATGTTGTTGTAAATGAAGGTGTTGCTGTCAGAATAGTACCTTTAAAACATGCATTTACCTAAACAGCGAGGAGAATGCAAGTGTACACTGAAAAAGCCTGGGAGTGGAACAATATTATTGATCATATATCAAGACCATCCATGCATCTCCAACACAGAGATTCCACCATATAATATTATTGATGTAGTTGGATGTTTAGCGGTTTGGCCTATAGTAGCGCCCATGCTTTCAAAAGAATTAACCAGCTAGCAGCTGATGATATATAGACATGTACATATATAAGGAAAGTTTTTTGCGACAATTTTGGTCAATTTGATTTCACATGGTTAATTAGAAATTAACACCCAAGGTCCCTCAACTCATGAATCATGCATATGCATGATGAACAAATACCAAATCAACAGTTCTAATTAATTAATTAAGATCTTCAACTTGAATCCTTTTCTTGCATAAATACTCAAAAATGTTGATTACCATGCTCAACGATCTTTAAATATTCAACAAACACATGACCTTAAATCTTGGATTTTTGGAAGGTTAGTTAGGTGCATGACTGATTTACTGCTAATTCATGTGTCATCTGGTCTGGTCTGGCGATTGTCTGCATCCTCTAGTCCACATCAGACCCCATTTATTAATGATTACAACCAAACAAATAAAATGCACATTTCCCTAATCCTAACATGCAACTCTTGCTCCATTTTAGACTTAATTTCCCCAACTAAACAGTGGCAACGTGACATTAACTTTTATTTAAATATTCATATATTTTTCCTAATTTTCAATTATTTCTTTACTTTTAGTTGACATGATGTTTACAAATGTTAACTATTATAAAAAAAAAAAAAATTATTTGATACATTGATACTAGTGAAGCTTTTTAGTTTTATAAATGGGTTTAATATAATGACTCATGTTTAATTTCTTTAATTAATTTTTTTAATTTTTAAATATATCATAAAGTACAAGTATCATCTTGTTAATCTCGTTTGTAAAATTAAAAAAATTACAATCACAATATATTTGATAATTTTTCTTATTATAATGTGAATATCATCTATTTGTTTTAAGCAATTAAGATTTTAACTTTTGACTAAAATCTTGACCATTAATTAAAATTTAAATTTTTTTAATTAAAATTTTAAAGAAATGATAGGATAAGGGGAAAAATTATTTATCTCGATTATCATAAAAAGATTTTGTTATCCAATATTGTAATTCGTTAACTAGCGATACTCTAAAAATTATCATATTAAATAATATTTTTTCTTAGGGTGTATTAAAATTCATCAAATTAATTTCAATAACACATAATTTGATACAAAAATATTGCTATAAGTTATAACTTAATTAACTTTAAATTGTATCATCAGCTTTTCACTTTTTTATTATAATTTTAGTATTAACAAATCATAATAAAAAATTATATAAGGTCCGCGATTAAAAATGTGGGCTCTACATAAATTGTTTATGAACTTTATATAATTTTTTTTTTTAAATTAAAATTTATTAGAACTAAGAGAATTACAACACTAAAACCACACTATTAAGTCTGTGGTGTGATTAACTCCCATCTTGACTAAGAAGTCCACAAAATGATTTGTTTTCCTAGGCACATAACCAAATGAGACATTTTTAACTATCTCATTCAAATTACACAAATGATTAAGGACGTTACTTCATTTTCATGAATTGTCACAAACTTTATTTATCCAAGAGATAATACTATACAAATGTTATATAATATTGAATTATAATTGGTTGATTATATTATAATAATTATAGATGATATTTTTTTTAAATTATTGACAAATTATCTGATTTCGTCTATGCATAACAACTAAAGATTCGAAATTTCATTATTGATAACCAAATAAATGTTTCCAAAAAAAAAAAATTTCCTTAAATCATTACTCCGTAATACTTTACTCTATAAAGTCTATTTATATTTACCAAAAAAAGTCAATTTATTTATTTCTAAAAATTAAATTTTATTAGTACCACATGCTCAAATTGTTATTAATTAACAGTATATTTTGAAGATTAAACCATTTAAATCAACATATCAAAATTCCTTGACAACCAAGATATGTGATATATATGCGGTCGCAGACGCCATTGATATAGGGAGCATATCTTTGGTAATATATATATATATATACTCGAAGTAATATTAATTTGTGAATCTTTGCGTATCTTTGGTAACTTATACCTTAAAAGGGCCCTGCAGAAACCCATACTGTACAATACGCCCTGTTAATTTCTGTGAAAAAAAAAAAAAGGAAAATCAAGATCATAGCCAACGGTGACAGTGCAAGAAAAATCATGTGACTCAATAATTGAAAAATTATTAAAATTTTAATCATTTGTAGCTTGAAGAAGACTTGATGTTTATCACAACAATGGACTGGATAATAATTCCAATGTGGAAAAATACAAGAACATAGACATGAGTAGTATAGTAAAACCAAAAAAATTGGTGGACAACACATCTAGGAATTCAGTTGATGTGATCTCACCAACTTGATGTGAGCCTAAATAGTAGTAAACTCAATCAAACTAGTATTGAATTAAACTTTTCTGCATATTTTCTTTTTCTTTTTCTTGCCTTTGACACATTAGTATTTGACAGTTTCCTTCAGGCTTTTGCTTTGCTGTTCTATTTTATCACTTGCAATAATACTATTGTTTCCAATAACAACATCTCTATATCTGTTATATAACATATATATATATATATATTTACATTTTAATTGATTAAAATTTCACTGGTATTTGATCTGAACTCGTGACAATTCAGTTTTTAATTAATCATTATGACATTCCTTCTGCTTAACTTTGGGAAAGTTTGTCATCAACGTTCCAAGGGGCAATTTTCCTTCCCATTGAAACTTCAAAATATTTGAAAACATATCAAAAGAAAGATCGAGAAATGGCCTAAACTGTTGGCATCCAATTATATAACCCACATGTACGTGATTATAATCATAAGATAATAACAATCACCAAAGACAAAGAACAGAAAGAATATCCTTTGTTTACTGATGCACAAAACAGAAAACATACAAAAGCAAATAATTAATCATGAAGAAAATATAAAAGGTGGATCTCTTACAACTCAGAAAGGTTAGAAT